GAGTGGCGCGCCATGGCGGCAATCTGGTAAGTGGCCCGCTCGGAGCATTAAAATCTGGCGATCAATACAGGAAGTGTTGAGCCGGTATGAGTGTGGAGAGAAATCGTGGAAGGCAGTCTCTGCCGCTTTCTTCTCCAGGTCTCTCGCTCTCTCTCTCTTCCCCTCATGCTCTCTCTCTCTCTCTCTCTCTCTCTCTCTCTCTCTCTCTCTCTCTCTCTCTCTCTCTCTCCCTCTCTCTCTCTCTCTCTCTCTCTCTCTCTCTCTCTCTCTAACTGTAACTGTGCGCAACTATCTTACCTTTGGTTGGTACCTATTCAAATCCACATGTGGGTGGTTGTCGACATTATGGTCCCTTTTTGGGTCCCTATTATAGTACGGCACCTATTATTTAGGGTACCCCTAAAGGGATCTTAATTTTGACAACTACCCATGTGACTCCGCTGGCACCACTGAATGTGACTAGACATGCAGGCGGAAATTTCAGACATGACTCCATAGATTCACAGTGCCGTAGCTGCATTATCTGCACAACTGCACTGCAGTCTTTTCCCAGAGCAGGTCTGTGTGGTACAGGAACCTCCTTGGGAAATGCACCTGTGACTGCTGCCTCACTGCTCCACGCCTATCCGTTCTCAGGGCTGCGGCGGAAGTACGCGGGCTGGTCGGGGGTCGGGCCGTCCACAGTCGGGCCCAGCGCACCATAGCCAGTCACGTCGTCAGCGGATGGCTGCTTGCCCTCCCAGTCCAAGAAGAGGATCCACACGAAGATGATCGGGATGAAGATGAGGATCGCATCCTGCTGACTGATGGCATCGGACGCCTGATCAGTTGCCAGGGCAGGCGCGGCCGGGAGTCCAGCCAGCACCGCACCGGCCACAGCTGCCTCCTGACCTCGCAGCTTTGGGCTGGAGCCCGGTGCCACGAAAGCCAGCTGGTTCAAGGCCAGCAGCGCACATGCCACCACTGCCGCCTTCAGCAGCGCCGACGAGTGGCGTGCCATGGCGACACACTGAGAGTGGCCCGCTTGGAGCCTAAAAATATCTGGACATCGGCATCAACGATTTGCTCGTAAGAACAACAGCCTGCAGCATCGTATCAGCTGCTCAAAAACCACCTCAGCCTGTTGTATTGGGACTGTGAGACACAACCCTCAGACAGCAAGTGGAAACCTGCCATCAACATCCTCAATCCGGCTGTCTTCATCTAAATACGACATCAAATGGATAGCTCACGTAGATCTTGCTGCACATCCGCGCGAGAGCACAAGTGCCTTTTCCCAGAGCAGGTCTGTGTGGTACAGGAACCGCCTTGGAAAATGCACCTGTGACTGCTGCCTCACTGCTCCACGCCTATCCGTTCTCAGGGCTGCGGCGGAAGTACGCGGGCTGGTCCGGGGTCGGGCCGTCCACAGTCGGGCCCAGCGCACCATAGCCAGTCACGTCGTCAGCGGATGGCTGCTTGCCCTCCCAGTCCAAGAAGAGGATCCACACGAAGATGATCGGGATGAAGATGAGGATCGCATCCTGCTGACTGATGGCATCGGACGCCTGATCAGTTGCCAGGGCAGGCGCGGCCGGGAGTCCAGCCAGCACCGCACCGGCCACAGCTGCCTCCTGACCTCGCAGCTTTGGGCTGGAGCCCGGTGCCACGAAAGCCAGCTGGTTCAAGGCCAGCAGCGCGCATGCCACCACCGCCGCCTTCAGCAGCGCCGACGAGTGGCGTGCCATGGCGACAATCTGAGAGTGGCCCGCTTGGAGCCTAAAAATATCTGGACATCGGCATCAACGGTTTGCTCGTAAGAACAACAGCCCGCAGCCTCGCATCAGCTGCGTAGAAACCACCTCAGCCTGCTTGTATTGGGACTGTGAGACACAATCCTCAGACAGCAAGTGGAAACATGCAATCAACATCCTCAAAGTACATCGGCTGCCTTCATCTCATAAGATAAGAGTACTGGAAACCTACTGCAATGTGCTGAAATACGATATCAAATGGATATCTCACGTAGATCTTGCTGCACATCCGAGCGAGAGCACAAGTGCCTTTTCCCAGAGCAGGTCTGTGTGGTACAGGAACCGCCTTGGAAAATGCACCTGTGACTGCTGCCTCACTGCTCCACGCCTATCCGTTCTCAGGGCTGCGGCGGAAGTACGCGGGCTGGTCGGGGGTCGGGCCGTCCACAGTCGGGCCCAGCGCACCATAGCCCGTCACGTCGTCAGCGGATGGCTGCTTGCCCTCCCAGTCCAAGAAGAGGATCCACACGAAGATGATCGGGATGAAGATGAGGATCGCATCCTGCTGACTGATGGCATCGGACGCCTGATCAGTTGCCAGGGCAGGTGCGGCCGGGAGTCCAGCCAGCACCGCACCGGCCACAGCTGCCTCCTGACCTCGCAGCTTTGGGCTGGAGCCCAGTGCCACGAAGGCCAGCTGGTTCAAGGCCAGCAGCGCGCATGCCACCACCGCCGCCTTCAGCAGCGCCGACGAGTGGCGTGCCATGGCGACAATCTGAGAGTGGCCCGCTTGGAGCCTAAAAATATCTGGACATGGGCATCAACGATTTGCTCGCAAGAACAACAGCCTGCAGCATCGCATCAGCTGCTCAAAAACCACCTCAGCCTGTTGTATTGGGACTGTGGGACACAACCTTCAGACAGCAAGTGCAAACATGCAATCAACATCCTCAAAGTACATCGGCTGCCTTCATCTCATAAGATAAGAGTACTGGAAACCTACTGCAATGTGCTGAAATACGATATCAAATGGATATCTCACGTAGATCTTGCTGCACATCCGAGCGAGAGCACAAGTGCCTTTTCCCAGAGCAGGTCTGTGTGGTACAGGAACCTCTTTGGGAAATGCACCTGTGACTGCTGCCTCACTGCTCCACGCCTATCCGTTCTCAGGGCTGCGGCGGAAGTACGCGGGCTGGTCCGGGGTCGGGCCGTCCACAGTCGGGCCCAGCGCACCATAGCCAGTCACGTCGTCAGCGGATGGCTGCTTGCCCTCCCAGTCCAAGAAGAGGATCCACACGAAGATGATCGGGATGAAGATGAGGATCGCATCCTGCTGACTGATGGCATCGGACGCCTGATCAGTTGCCAGGGCAGGCGCGGCCGGGAGTCCAGCCAGCACCGCACCGGCCACAGCTGCCTCCTGACCTCGCAGCTTTGGGCTGGAGCCCGGTGCCACGAAAGCCAGCTGGTTCAAGGCCAGCAGCGCGCATGCCACCACCGCCGCCTTCAGCAGCGCCGACGAGTGGCGTGCCATGGCGACAATCTGGGAAGTGGCCCGCTTGGAGCCTAAAAATATCTGGACATCGGCATCAACGGTTTGCTCGCAAGAACAACAGCCTGCAATCGCATCAGCTGCGCAAAAACAACCTCAGCCTGTTACACGCAGAAAAAATCGGAAAAGGCCATGAACAGAACATCCTCCAGCAGTACATCCTGCTGTCTTCATCTGTCAAAAGAACCCTCGAAACCGAATGCAATGTACTGAAAAAAAACATGGAATGAATCTGGACGAGCGCGCAACTGCCTTTTCCCAGAGCAGGTCTCTGCAGTAGGGAAAATGCACCTGTGGCTGCTGCCTCACTGCTCCACGCCTATCCGTTCTCAGGGCTGCGGCGGAAGTACGCGGGCTGGTCCGGGGTCGGGCCGTCCACAGTCGGGCCCAGCGCACCATAGCCAGTCACGTCGTCAGCGGATGGCTGCTTGCCCTCCCAGTCCAAGAAGAGGATCCACACGAAGATGATCGGGATGAAGATGAGGATCGCATCCTGCTGACTGATGGCATCGGACGCTTGATCAGTTGCCAGGGCAGGCGCGGCCGGGAGTCCAGCCAGCATCGCACCGGCCACAGCTGCCTCCTGACCTCGCAGCTTTGGGCTGGAGCCCGGTGCCACGAAAGCCAGCTGGTTCAAGGCCAGCAGCGCGCATGCCACCACCGCCGCCTTCAGCAGCGCCGACGAGTGGCGTGCCATGGCGACAATCTGAGAGTGGCCCGCTTGGAGCCTAAAAATATCTGGACATCGGCATCAACGATATGCTCGTAAGAACAACAGCCTGCAGCATCGCATCAGCTGCTCAAAAACCACCTCAGCCTGTTGTATTGGGACTGTGAGACACAATCCTCAGACAGCAAGTGCAAACATGCAATCAACATCCTCAAAGTACATCGGCTGCCTTCATCTCCATAAGATAAGAGTCTTGGAAACCTACTGCACAACGTGCTGAAATACGATATCAGATGGATATCTCACGTAGATCTTGCTGCACATCCGCATGAGAGCACAAGTGCCTTTTCCCGGAGCAGGTCTGTGTGGTACAGGAACCTCCTTGGAAAATGCACCTGTGACTGCTGCCTCACTGCTCCACGCCTATCCGTTCTCAGGGCTGCGGCGGAAGTATGCGGGCTGGTCCGGGGTCGGGCCGTCCACAGTCGGGCCCAGCGCACCATAGCCAGTCACGTCGTCAGCGGATGGCTGCTTGCCCTCCCAGTCCAAGAAGAGGATCCACACGAAGATGATCGGGATGAAGATGAGGATCGCATCCTGCTGACTGATGGCATCGGACGCCTGATCAGTTGCCAGGGCAGGCGCGGCCGGGAGTCCAGCCAGCACCGCACCGGCCACAGCTGCCTCCTGACCTCGCAGCTTTGGGCTGGAGCCCGGCGCAACGAAAGCCAGCTGGTTCAAGGCCAGCAGCGCGCATGCCACCACCGCCGCCTTCAGCAGCGCCGACGAGTGGCGCGCCATGGCCGACAGAAAGGCCACGGCTACCCCACTTGATCAAAAACGTGCTAAACGATCCGTGCTTCGTCTGCAGTCCTAGCTCTTTGCACGGTCAAAAGGCCTGCACCCCATGTCCAATGTCCTGGCACGCCACGGATTGCCAGGATTGGACAAGAATATCAGCCAACAGCACGCTAAATCAAACAGGCAATTTTCGACTTCGGCGCAGATGTGGCTCTGCCATGACCAAAGCCCCAAGCTCAACTCAGGCGTTTACGACCTGCCGAGGCCACTGACATCCTGAGGTCCTAAGGTCCTACCGTCCTGCCTCAAAGAACATGCAAGCGTGATACACCTGATCACTGATAACCATTACTCCTGTCGAATCCGGCAAATGACATCCTACCTCACAATGTCTCTCGCCTAGCAAACCTCAGCCATGCTCCGTGCGGCCCCGCAAGCAGGCCTTGCCGTAGAAGATGCCCTTCAGCAGGACGGTCCTCCCACGGAGGCCAAAAAGCTCGAAACTCGAAGCACTAACCCTGCTGAACCCCCGGTGCCTGCCTTGGGGCCTTGGCGCCCATGTCGGTGTCGGAGGGCTGCTTGGACACGAAAACGCCGCCGATCTCACCAAGCTCCTGGTTCACCTGCAGAGGCGGGGGCTTGCACAGGCTTGTGTTCGGCCTCGATTTGGGACACATGGCAGGTCTGTCGCGCTGTGTCTGGAGGTCATGCTTTACAGTAGCAGCAATTGTTAAACTAAACCAAGCAAAAGCGAGGCAACTGCACACACCTCCCTGCCTTGTTGACCTCCATCTCGATGACGCCCTTGCCGAGGTCGAAGACCTTGTTGGTCTCCTTGAAGAGCTCGTCCTGGCCGCCCTGACCATCGGACTGCATGGCCGGCAGGGCCACGGCCTGATCGTAACCCAAGGTCATACCTCGGCCCTTAGGGTCAAGGAAACCGCCGGTTCGGTAGGAGGGGACGCTGAACTCGCCACCCCATGTGAAGCCCGGCTTGAAGGAGCTGCCCTCGCCCTTGGCCACCAGCTCCTTCACGGTGAACAGGAAGGGCACGTACTCGCCGTCCGGCAGCTTCACGGTGGTGGCCGCGAAGTCCATACCGTCCTGCTCCTTGAAGGTGATGGGGTTGGCATCCAGGCTGCCCTCGATGAAGGCCAGGGTGTAGGTCTGACGGGTGGTCAGCTTGGTGGTGGCGAACTCCTTGCCCTTGTCGGTCTCGAACTCTACTGCGAAGGACTTCGGCTCGAAGCACACGTTCACGAGCCGAGAGCCGCCCTTCACGGGGACCTCCGTGCCGTTGGACTCGACGGTGGGGCAGCGGTTGGCCAAGCCGGAGCCCTTCACCTGTGCGTAGGTGAGCTGGCTGAACTGCTCCGCCGTGATGGCGCGGGCGGGCTTGGCGGCCACGACGCCGAAGATCAGGCCCAGGGCGGCGCCGAAGCTCAGCAGCGGTGCAGCCCAGGAGGTGCTGGCCATGCTCGGCTGCGGCATCTCGTGCTCGACCGCATTGGGCGCGGCGCGGGGCGGCTGCGCTCCTTGGGGAAGACCGGTCAGGAAGCAGCTGCCCACGCCGACCACCGCCAGGACGGCGACCGCGGCCGCGGCAAAGGAGTTTCGTGCCATTTTGGTCGATGCTAAGACCATAAAAACAAACCACCGTGCAGGGAAAAAACTCGAGCACACCACGTTGAGAAACATGCTTTAGCACCCATTGTAGCTGCAGCCCCTCCAACGGAGGATCTCTTCCGTGGCAGTGCCGCGCCCTGCCTCAACCTAGCTGAACCTAGCCCCAATCAACGAAGGATCAACAAATGAAGTTGGCTACCCTGTTTCATCTGGCAGGCATAGTGCGACCCCTTGCAAATGCCACCGCTGTTTTGGGGCCCCCTCACCGGATGCAAAGAGCGACGTACGAGATCGTGCAGCCTCGAAAGCGGGTTCTTGCAAAATCGGGCAGCGTCTATGACTCCGGAAATCTAGAACTGTCGAGCCCAAGGCACAAATCTTTGAGATGGTTTGAGCGGGGTGACAAGGGCCGCTGCGCCCGGATTCTGGTAAGACACCCCCTTGCATGGGCGCGAGCTCGCCTGTCCGGTGCAGCCTTTTTGGGGAAGTCTTGGAGATTTCGATGTGTTGGGTTCTCTAATGCTGCGGGAGAGTTTTCGGGGCTTCGTCGTTCGCGAGGCCGGCATCCGGAACTCTGGGGAAAATCTCGGCCCTAGGCGTTCACCACCTTGCCGTAGAAGATGCCCTTGAGCAGCACAGTCCTTGTGAGGGGAATCCGGGTCCGGACGTAGATGGGAAACTCGATTCATTGGTTCACTGTTCCGGTCCATGGATGCTGGGCTCTTCAGCATTTTGCAGAACTTCATGCCGAAGCCTGCTGAACCCCCGGTGCCTGCCTTGGGGCCTTGGCGCCCATGTCGGTGTCGGAGGGCTGCTTGGACACGAAAACGCCGCCGATCTCACCAAGCTCCTGGTTCACCTGCAGAGGCGGGGGCTTGCACAGGCTTGTGTTCGGCCTCGATTTGGGACACATGGCAGGTCTGTCGCGCTGTGTCTGGAGGTCATGCTTTACAGTAGCAGCAATTGTTAAACTAAACCAAGCAAAAGCGAGGCAACTGCACACACCTCCCTGCCTTGTTGACCTCCATCTCGATGACGCCCTTGCCGAGGTCGAAGACCTTGTTGGTCTCCTTGAAGAGCTCGTCCTGGCCGCCCTGACCATCGGACTGCATGGCCGGCAGGGCCACGGCCTGATCGTAACCCAAGGTCATACCTCGGCCCTTAGGGTCAAGGAAACCGCCGGTTCGGTAGGAGGGGACGCTGAACTCGCCACCCCATGTGAAGCCCGGCTTGAAGGAGCTGCCCTCGCCCTTGGCCACCAGCTCCTTCACGGTGAACAGGAAGGGCACGTACTCGCCGTCCGGCAGCTTCACGGTGGTGGCCGCGAAGTCCATACCGTCCTGCTCCTTGAAGGTGATGGGGTTGGCATCCAGGCTGCCCTCGATGAAGGCCAGGGTGTAGGTCTGACGGGTGGTCAGCTTGGTGGTGGCGAACTCCTTGCCCTTGTCGGTCTCGAACTCTACTGCGAAGGACTTCGGCTCGAAGCACACGTTCACGAGCCGAGAGCCGCCCTTCACGGGGACCTCCGTGCCGTTGGACTCGACGGTGGGGCAGCGGTTGGCCAAGCCGGAGCCCTTCACCTGTGCGTAGGTGAGCTGGCTGAACTGCTCTGCCGTGATGGCGCGGGCGGGCTTGGCGGCCACGACGCCGAAGATCAGGCCCAGGGCGGCGCCGAAGCTCAGCAGCGGTGCCGCCCAGGAGTTGCTGGCCATGCTCGGCTGCGGCATCTCGTGCTCGACCGCATTGGGCGCGGCGCGGGGCGGCTGCGATCCTTGTTGGGGAAGACCGGTCAGGAAGCAGCTGCCCACGCCGACCACCGCCAGGACGGCGACCGCGGCCGCGGCAAAGGAGTTGCTGCGGGCCATCTTCAAGGTTTTCTCTCGTTCCGTCCAAGAGCTCCGCCCGAACTTACAAAAACTTCTGGGCCGAAAAGGGTCGAAACCCAGTCGCTGGTACTGTTAGGTTGCCGCGGCAACTTGACTGAGGATGCCTGGAGCAAGCTTCTTCCCTCCCAAAACATTCCGACAACAGTCCTGTCAGCACCCGACTGCTCAATGGTTTTTCGCATTTCCAACATGCTTTGGCGTTGTCGACCATCCAAATCCTCTGTCGGTCTGGCAAGCCTAGACATGTCATAATGGTGAGATGCACTTCAAAGGGATTCTAGGGCTGGCGACAGATCAAAAAAAACTGATCAAAAAGACATTCACCCACAAAGATGAATAATCCCATTGAATAACCCCAACAGCGGAATGGCTGTCGTCGGGCTCACATGAACGGATGCCAGAAAAGCTCAAAGAGCTGTAGATGCAGGCATTGAACAAAAGATTTTGATTCGCTTAAGATAAGCGCATGCAGTAGGATATTCGGGTTTAGGGAGCGCATGGAAGTCCAGATCTGCTGCAACGCAGGCCAAATGATTTTGGCAGGCCTCGGGAAATGCATTTGGGTTCGCTCTGAAGCTTCGGAAGCTGAATTCCAGCCCGGGAGTGGGACAAAGAGGGGCACTACCAAGGCTGAGAAAGTTGTAAGATCGCTTTTGAAGGCTTGAAAAATGTGTTTGAAGCTGTTGCAGACCTAAGCAAAGCGCGTGCAGCAGGATTTTCGGGTCTAGGGACCGCATTCAGGTCCAGATCTGCTGCAACGCAGGCCAAATGCGTTTACTAAGCCTCTGAAAATGCATTTGGGCTCGGTCTGAAGCTTGCGGAGCTGAATTAAAAGTACAGCCCGGAACTAGGACCAGGAGGGGCATCAGCAAGGCTAAGAAAGCTGTAAAATGTGCTTTTGAAGGCTTGAAAATGCGTTTGGTGTTGGAGATCAAAACAGAGCGTGTGCAGCAGGATTTTCGACTTTAGCGACGGCATTGAGGATTAGCACTGCTGCAACGCAGGCTGACGCAGGCCAAATGCGCTTACCACGCCTCGAGAAATGCATTTGGGCTCGGTTTGAAGCTTCCGGAGGTGAATTACAGCCGGGACTGGGAGCAGGAGGGGCATTAGCAAGGCTAAGAAAACTGTAAAATGCGGTTTTCAAGGCTTGGACAATGCATTTGCGGCCGTTGGATACCAAAGTAAAGCGTGTGCAGCAGGATTTTCGGGTTAAGCGACGGCATGGAGGTTTAGCACTGCTGCAACGCAGGCCAAATGCGTTTAGCAGGCATCTGGAAATGCATTTGGGCTCGGTCTGAAGCTTCGGAGCTGAATTACCGCCCGGGACTGGGAGCAGGAGGGGCATTAGCAAGACTCAGAAAATGAGAAAACTGTAAAATGCGGTTTTCAAGGCTTGGACAATGCGTTTGGGGCTGTTGGAGACCAAAGTAAAGCGTGTGCAGCAGGATTTTCGGGTTTAGTGACGGCATGGAGGTTTAGCACTGCTGCAACGCAGGCCAAATGCGTTGAGCAAGCCTCGGGAAATACATTTGGGCTCGGTCTGAAGCTTCTGAGCTGAATTACAGCGCGGGACTAGGACCAGGAGGGGCATTAGCAAGGCTGAGAAAATGAGAAAACTGTAAAATGCGGTTTTCAAGGTTTGGACAATGCATTTGGGGCTGTTGGAGACCAAAGTAAAGCGTGTGCAGCAGGATTTTCGGGTTAAGCGACGGCATGGAGGAGAAGCACTGCTGCAACGCAGGCCAAATGCGTTTACCAGGCATCTGGAAATGCATTTGGGCTCGGTTTGAAGCTTCCGGAGGTGAATTACAGCCCGGGACTGGGACCAGGAGGGGCATTAGCAAGGCTAAGACGAGGGCCGTTGGATACCAAAGTAAAGCGTGTGCAGCATTATTGTCGGGTTTAGCGACGGCATGGAGGTTGAGCACTGCTGCAACGCAGGCCAAATGCGTTTAGCAAGCCTCGGGAAATGCGTTTGGGCTCGGTCTGAAGCTTCGGAGCTGAATTACAGCCGGAGTGGGAGCAGGAGGGGCATTAGCAAGGCTGAGAAAGCTGCGAAATGCGCTTGTCAAGGCTTGGACAATGCTTTTGGGTTTAGCGACGGCATTGAGGTTGAGCACTGCTGCAACGCAGGCCAAATGTGGTACCAGGCTTCGGGAAATGCATTTGGGCTCGATTTGAAGCTTCCGGAGGTGAATTACAGCCCGGGCCAGGAGGGGCATTACTGAGAAAGTTGTAAAATGTGGTTTCCAAGGCTTGGACAATGCATTTGGGGCTGTTGGAAGCCAAAGTAAAGCGTGCTCAATAGGATTTTCAAACTCAGGGACGGCATTCAAGTCCAGATCTGCTGGGGCATCGAGAAATGCATTTGGGCTCGCTTTGAAGCTTCGGGCGCTGAATTACAGCCCGGGACTGGGGCCAGGAAGGGCATTAGCAAGGCTAAGAAAGCTGTAAAATGCGGTTTCAAGGCTTGGACAATGCATTTGGGGCTGCTGGATACCAAAGTAAAGCGTGTGCAGCATTATTTTCGGGTTTAGCGACGGCATGGAGGTTGAACACACTTCTGCAACGCAGGCCAAATGCGTTTAGCAGGCCTGGTGAAATTCATTTGGGCTCGGTCGCAACCTTCGGAGCTGAATTACAGCCCGGGTGTGGGAGCAAGAGGGGCGTTAGCAAGGCTGAGAAAGCTGTAAGATGCGGTTAAAATCTCGGACGAAGTATTGGGGCTGTTGGAAACGAAAGTAAAGCATGTGCAGCAGGATTTTCGGTACCGCTCCGGAACCTGCCGGAACCTGCCGGAAGCTGTACCGGAACTTGCCCCGCAACATCACCGGAACCTGCTTCGGAACCTCACCGGAACCTGCCCCGGAAACGCTCCGGAACCTGCCCCGACCTTCCCCCACAACATCACCGGAACTTGCTTCCGAACCTCCCCGGAACCTGCCGGAACTTGCTTGGAACCTCGCCGGAACCTGCCCGGAACCTTCCCGGAACCTGCCGGAACCTGCGGGAACCTGCCCCGGAACTTGCCCCGCAACATCACCGAAACCTGCTTCGGAACCTCACCGAAACCTGCCGCAACCTGCCCCGAACTTCCCCTGCAACATCACCGGAGCCTGCTTCGGAATATGCCCTGGAATCGCTCCGGAACCTGCCGGAAGCTGTACCGGAACTTGCCCCGCAACATCACCGGAACCTGCTTCGGAACCCCACCAAAACCTGCCGGAACCTGCCCGGAACCGCTCCGGAACCTGCAGGAACCTGCCCCGACCTTCCCCCGCAACATCACCGGAACTTGCTTCGGAACCTGCCCGGAACCTGCCAGAACCTGCCCCGGAACTTGCTCCGCAACATCACCGGAACCTGCTTCGGAACCTCGCCGGAACCTGCCCGGAACCTCCCGGAACCTGCCGGAACCTGCCCCCGCAACATCACCGGAACCTGCTTCGGAACCTCGCCGGAACCCGCCCGGAACCCGCCCGGAACCCGCCCCAGAACCTGCCCCAGAACTTGCCCCAGGCCTCGCCCCGATCTGCCCCAAACCTTATTTCGGCTAAAGACCCCAGAGCTTACGCTGTCAGGGAAAAAATGAAAACAAAATCAAGATTAGTGCTGGCGAAGACCCCAAACAGCATTGACGTAACGACAGGAGAGACACGTGCTACAGTGGTAGATTACGACAGTGAGTAAACGCAAAGCAGCGATCGGCACGAAGTCAAAAGTCGTGCCTGCATGTTTTCGAGATCATATATTTCTCAATCCAGTCATATCTCAAATAACTGTATCACTCGGACTCCGTCTTTTGTTTCAGGGGCGCACCGGGTTGCCCGGCCTTAGGCCGCGGGCTAGGCGCAGCAACATGCCGTTCGCATGCTGCTGTCAACGACCAGGCCTGGGAAAATGCATTTGCGCGCTTTCCTGACTAAAAGAATCGTTTATTATGGTTCATAACAATCCAAGGCCACGAAAACAAAGCCAAAAATCGAAAGTAGATTGGTGCTTGGACACTGACCACCAGTGCATAAGCATCCGTGACAAGCCAGATGCATTTTTCGGGGCTGGTAAAATGCATTTGCCTGTGGCTTTCTACCGACGGCTAAGCTGCGCTCTGTCGGTTGCGCGGAATCTAAGGCTTTGTGCGATATCTACGATTAATGAAAGCCATAGAAACACAAGAGCATTTTCGAAAATCAAAGGAGCATTTTGGTCGTTTCCGACAAGCCCACAGCAAAGAGACACATGCCCAAATGCATTTTAGGGGGCTGGATCGTGGCAATGTGTCCTTCAAAGCCATCCAAATGCATGCATCGAAGCTGCTAAAATGATGGTTTTCAATCGCAATTACAGAGAAACACATAGGTTTTTTGCCATTTTGAATGGTTTTCCATTGGAAATTTTAAAAAACACATAGGTTGTTTGCTGCTTTCAATGGTTTTGAATTAAAAAACAATGGTTTTTTGCGATTTTCAATGGGTTTTCAATTGTAAAATAGCAGGAAACCAATGGTTTTCCACTATTTGTTTCTCTGGTCTCCTTGCAGGTTGTATTTCCCAAAATAGGTATTTGGGATAATCAAAGATATCGCGATCAATAAAAATTTATTCGCAATCATAATCAGAGAATCTTCGGACATGTGAATCAAGCTTGCAATCACTCGGACCACTCTTTTTCTTCCTAAGACTTCAGCGGGGGTAAAACACCGGGTCCGATGGCACAATAGGGCGAGATCAGCCCCGATGGCAAGTGCAGCCATCCACGAGCAACCATCTCCCCCAGTTTAACAAAGACCGTATTGAACCAATGCCGGGTGGGTGGGAGGTCAAAAATTTTTCTTGCTAAGCGAACACAGCTTGAGCATCACCACCGGCGTGACATGATTCAAAATCGCACTGAGGAAAACATTGCATGTGAGACGTTGAAAATAAAAAGCCAAAATGTGTTGGAAACATGACAACGAAAAGCTGCAAGTTCGCTTC